GAGCGCGTTCATGGCAGATTCAGACCGATGAAAACTGTCAACGCGACTGAAATCTGACCGCTCTGTAATCGAAATCTGACGGCTGTCCTTCCCGTCGCTGCCCACCGCCTTGGGCCTCAACAGCAGCACTGCTGAGGCGGGTCCGCTGACGAGGTGACGCACTCGAAGGCGCGCACTGCGTGGCTTTGCTGTGGTCCGCGGGTAGCTCTCAGGGCGTTGTCGAAGCTCGGCGCGCCCTCGACTTGAGGCGCCCTTGGATGCCGTGCGAGCACTGTGCCACTTGCCAGCGGCGGTGGGTCGCAGTGTCGATGGATGCACGCGGCAGCGGGATGCGCATGCGCTCACCTTGTAAGGCGTGTGCGCGGAGCGGCACGGCAAGGTGGGCAAGAGAAGAGATAGGCGCGGGTGGTGGGGCGAAGCGCAGACATATCTGGCGCCCGTCGAGAGCGCCTTCACGGATTGTGACACGGTCATGGTGGGCATTCACGTGCGACTGGGGAACCCTCGCTTCGCCCACGAGGCGCTACCTCAGTGCGCTTCCGCCGTTCTTCCCGCCGCCTTCACTTGCTGGAGAGCAGCATGATCGCGCATGGTGGGCCTGGGGTCGTCAACGAATGCGTGATGTGTATGTGGACTGTTTGATGTGGGTCTAAGAAGATCCCTCATGGCGCGGCATGTTGCGTGCCATTCAGAGCTGCCTCTTGCTGCAAGGTGGCAAGACTCAGCAAGGGGTGTTTGGGGGGTTCGGGTGCGCTCAGGATGCTGGACTGGGAGGTGGACCAGGTCAGCGCGCGCGGCGTCGTAAATGACACCTTAAACACAATCAAGGAGGTGGAACTTCTGCGTCTCCATCTGTCAATAGCTCGCCCGATGCGTGTTGGCTAGTTTGGCGTGTCCTCCAAGTCATGGGGAAAGAGACTTCTGAGCTGCATGATTTGCTTCGTCTGTGTCTTTTAAACGTGTTTCTTTCTAAGGGGTTCCCTAAATCGGACGGACCTCCTCGTCCGAGCGGTTGAGCAGAGGTGCAGAGCGCTACTCTGGGGCGAGAGGCGATATCTCAAGCGGAATGCAATGGAGAGCCGCTCGGTGGCAGCAGTCAGGCTCTCCGGAGATCTCAAGGCCCGCTCCGTGCAGGAACGCGATTGGCAGACTGAAGTATATGGTTGCTGACAGGGTTGAGCGCCAAGTGAAATAATGTGTTTGGCTGACTGACCAAATATAGTCAATGCTAGGGCCGAGCGCCGAGCGAGATACGCGCTAATCGCAACAGCACCGTCCCTCAACGGTGCACGCATTTGGCAATAATCGAGAATGGTTACTCGCAGGGCTGGGCGATGGTGTTGGATGGTGAAATGAAGGATCAGACTGGGCGCTGGGCGAGAAGGGAAGCATTAGGGTGGGTATGATTGTAAGCTTAGGTGCTGTGGCTGTATCGAATGGGTGAAAGGCTTGGACTGTAGGGTTGGGCAGCACACTGAGCGTCAGCGATGGCCGATGTAGGCGAGCAACAGGGGTGAATCCTCGAATGTGCGAAGCCTGTGATCACCTTTGTGGATGTCATATGTCCACATTGTCAGCGGGGCTTTTCTTTGGCGTCATCAATAAACGTCAAAAGTCCGAGTTGGTCTGAGCTGCACCACTGAATACGGGTGGCCAGGCTCCGCGGGTTTGGCATCCCCAAGAGTACCTAATCGAGGAGTGGTGGGTGAGAGAGCGCCACAGGGGTGGAAGGTGAACATCACAGCGGCCAATCTGATGTTTGAGTGGGCCGAGGTTGTGGGGCGGTACGCAGCCCTTTCCTTGCTGCTTTCCGTTGCCTTGGTGCACTCTTCCCTCCACCTCGCTCGCCACCACCGGTTGCATGTCCCCCTCGGAATGCCCTGTTGATGCCTTCACGCGTTCGTGGGCCTCATCCTAAGGGAGCAGGGCATTGTCGCCACTCGGCCCTGAGCCTGACCGCACCATCATCCCGACCAGGTTTGAGGTGGCCTTGGCCGGAGCGTCTCGGCATGCCACGTGGCATAGGATGTCATGCTCGAGGCGGCGCTTGACAGGAACTGCGCAGTTGGCATAAGGGCGGTGTCAGTTGTGTTGGCAGCGCGCAGCTTTCTGCTGTGCCTGGCGCCGGCAACCCGTGAAGGTGATGGCAGTGCCGGCGCGATTCAACAGGGTCTCGCGGAGGGTAGAAGGCCCGGCGCATAGCCCGTGGTGGGGGTGGAAGGCCTGGCGCATAGACCGTGGTTGGGGGTAGAAGGCCTGGCGCATAGCCCGTGGTGGGGGTAGAAGGCCCGGCGCATAGCCCGTGGTGGGAGTTTGGGTATTCAACCAGCTGCACCCTTCTGAGTGGCTGGGGCTTGGCTCCGCCACATGCAGAAAGATCGCTGCTAAGCGAGGGCTGCCGAAGTCGAGCGTGAAGTACTTTTTGGCCACGGACACGGACGAGGTGCAGGAGATGGCACACAAGCATTTTGACAAACAGCTGGTGACGAACAAAGGGCCCATCGAGCACCTCGGGCTGCTCAGCACGGAGGCTGGGCGGAAGAGGGCTGCAGCAGACTTCTGGCTGCTCACACAGTGTGACGGCCTGGTGCTGAGTCGCTCCAGCCACCTGGCGGATAAGGTGAGGCACAACGGTATCGTGCTCGTAGGATCACTCGTCGAATCAGCCCTCCATTCTGTCCCCCAACAATTGTTGTGGGAGCAAGAACTATTGGGCCGATTTTGGACAACCTGTGTGGCCAAATGCCCCGTGATGGTAAGCCTCTGCCTTCCCATGTGACACATCTACGGCCTACACCTCGCAGGACTGAGGGACAGATCTACGGCCTACACCTCACAGGACTGAGGGACAGATATACGGCCTACCCCTCGCAGGACTGCGGGACAGATGCCCCCAGCAAGCCGCCAGCTTAAGGCTGTGTTTTCGTAATGGTAGCTGCGGGTGCGGGCGCCGCTCATTGCAGGCAGTACTACTCGCAATGCACATCCCGGTCATCATGCGGTGCAAGCCCGACTCCGAATGGACATCAACCAGCTCCATCCCGGAGGAAGGGGTCACAGTGACTGTTCCTGGAATGAGTTGTCGATACGTCCAAATGCAGGACCCGCCTTGCGAGCGGACGAAAGAGGAGACGAAAATTGCCGAAGGCAATAGAAAGAAGAAAAAGAAGCATTTAGAACGTTCGGTCACCTGCAAGGGCAACATGTATGGGCCGAGCCCCCAATAATGCCACAAGACGCGCATCGATTGGTAATGCCACAAGGCGTAATATTGGAGGAAGGAGCTTGTGGGTTCAATATCACATTGCGCAGCTACCCGTCCCATGTGAACTAAATTGCCTGTTCTAGGTCACCACCTTGGCTCTTTTAGTCTCCTCCCCCCATGCCCATTCACCATGCAAACGCCACATCGCCCGAAGTCATCAGAAGCTGGACCCCTATGCTCGATCTAGAATCGGCGAAGGCTCTCCCATCCGTGTCTTGCACCCGTCGCTCTTCTGCAAATTCAGCCAATTCAGGTAGATCCGGCCAATTGTGATGGGCATCTTCGTCTCTCTCTCTCTCTCTCTCCGCCATTGTTGCCCCGTCAGGGAGCATGGAGGCTGTTTCAGCACATTTTTTCCAAAACGAGCCCTTCATCGGTGTGTCCTGGAAGCACCAGCTGGCTCATCCTTCCACGGTATCAGTGATCACTTGATGCAAGAGTGCATGACATTGACAACTGCAGTAAATGAAGGTGTCGCCATTACAAATGCAACATGTTGATAATGGTGTAGACCATACACCCGTGAATAAAAGCCTCACACCAGTAGCTTGACTTGCTAGAGTTGCAGAGATGTGTAACACTGTACCTGACACTCCCCACGCACCTCCACAACTACGGAGGTGGTGTACTGGAATCTGCCGACAGCCCTACTCGAGTACCCGGTGTAGGCCCTGGCACACTCCCCTGGATCCGTAGTAGCTCGGGGTGTGTGCCACAGCAGTGTCACCAGTCACCGACCGTTGCCGATTCGGGTTTAGGTTCGAGGTTCATATTGTTTCCGTTCCTCATGATATTCAATTCAAGTCTTCACCTAAACGGTCGACTGTGTTGCCCACTTTCCCGGATATCCATTGTGGGGATATCCATGTACTAGGTGACAGTGACAACCAGACAGTCAGAGAGGCAGTGACAAAAGCTAACAGAAGGACGTGATAAAACTAGGGGGGTGACAAAAGGTACCTAAGGGCGCTAAAGTCAGATCCGGCATGAGTTTAGCCAATCGTCATGGCTAACTCGCAGTGGCAAAATGAAACCGGCGTGCGTCGGTCCAAACCTGCCAGGAATATCAGTCAGCCAGTAGGACGATAAAGTGAAAATCCCCGCTCAAGGTTGTTTCTCAACGATGTGTACGAAACTTGATAAGAACTTGCCCGTTATATTGGATTTACGGGTTTAGGTTCAGGACCGGTCATCGGTCATACTCTCTACTATAGGAAGTCATACGGCCCGTGACACGGGCAGCATGGCTCTATATCGGGTTGATTTTCCGGTATCGATACAATCCGATATCCGGAAAGCGGTATCGATAATCGGCACAATCGATAAATAATCGATTATTTGGGTATGTATATAAAATTCGTTATGAATTAAATATGGAACACCGAAACCGGCACAAACATAGTTTGATATTGCAATCCGATAATCGGCGATAAATACGATATATCGATAGTGTCGACTATCGATATCGTGGAGCCTTGACAGACCGACGTGAATGCGTGATACTTCAAACATGCATTGATGGCCGAGCTCGGGTCGTAACTCTATACGGCGGTATTGGTATACGCGTACGGTGTCACTCTAACTCTTACCGGGTAAACGGTAACGCTATGCAACTTCGACCTTGGAGATTGACCCGATTCGTATACGGTACATATTTGACACGTGAGTTGAACCGTCGCGAGGAGAAAAATAAAATATATATATTACATGATATTTCAGCGGGATTGACATAGTTGTCTTCATAGTTTAGTGGTTAGAATCCTGCTTTGTGGCAGCAGAGACCCGGGCTCGAATCCCGGTGGGGACAACGTTTACGTTTCATTTTCGCAGTCATCGATTCTGCAAGTGATCAGAAGTCAGATGCTGTGCTGTGACTGTCACTGTGCATGCTTCATCGTTCATTGTCTGAGAAGTGTCACATGTAGGCGTGAGATGTCTTCAGAACTCGAGTAGAACCTGTGACGCCCCTAGGACACTACAGTATCGCTAGAAACAGCAGAGTACAGTACAGACAAGTGACACATACATAAGATATTAGATAAGGCAGACAAGAGACGACTGTCACAGAGACACACAACAGACATAGACAAAACGAAGATAGAGCAAGAGGGAAGACGAGAGGTGTCACTGTTTTCGGTTGTGTTTTGGCTTATGCATTTCTCACTTCAAATAATAATAATATCACAATTCAATCATAATAATAAACCCTACTGTACCGTATCGTTAATCGTATCATGACCTAAGAAGTTTCAAGAACTAGGTGGAGAACTCACACGGCATCGTCATCGTCAGAGCGATTCGGATAGTTTGCAGTGAAACGACAAATTTGGGTCGCAATTAATCGAGGGGAAACGAGCACACCAGGATTTTCGCATGCGACACGCTGTTAAAGAGTGGTCGAATTCGTTATAAGATATTTGTGGTGTCTTGGTTATGATGCCTCCGGTAGCGTGCGATCCTCAGCTCATGGCGGGCGGAGAGTTTGTGTTGAAGGTGAAAGTTGTTTCTCGAGGTGGTCACGAACTCAAAGAGATCAAAGTCAAAGGAACAGATTTAGTGTCCGAAGTAAAAGAGCGAGTCGAGCCCACGTTCGAATCCAAACTTCGCTTCGCCGGAACCTTCGATGAGTTTCCAGATGACCTATCACTTGTTGATGTGGGTGTTGTCGGTGAACCTGAGGTAGAGCTGATAAGATCTTGTATGATGAAAGTGAAAGAATCAGAAGAGGCTTCGTGAAACTTAAAGATTCACTGCAGAGCTTGAATTCTATGAACGCGCATTCTAAGTTACGTATTTTTTATCACTTATTTTTACCTCTGGAACGTCGCAAGTGATCCTTTATTGCCGGTGTCAGTATTCTGTGAAAATGCATATTCTCTGAAAGCACCAGATGTTGTCATTTAAGCTGGTCACAAACGTTGAGCCCTTCACGTACCCCAACATTTTGTTGTTGACGAGTCAGTACTAGCTCGAGAGGTTGATTTTGTTGTATCGCCAAATTATGATGGCAAAGGTTTTGAATATGCCTTGACCCAAAAGTTTAGCCGCTGAAATAATTGTGTTCTGAGCGGCCCCTTAATCATTCGGGAGACGAAGGCATTCACTAAAATATAAGAGTTCTTGGGGATCCACGTGTGATTTCTTGCTCCACATGAATCAACGCGTGTTTAGATTGCTGCTTCCTGAGCAACTCTCCTCGGTCTCCTCTGTTGCCATACGCAGGGCTTGTCATGCTTCTCCAGACGGGGCATTAATCAAGAACTGTAGGATGATGGACTGCCAATATGTCCCTGGCTTCGTACACGGGTAGGATAGTAGTATCGCACCTTAGGTTTTGGGTAATCAGCATACTATTTTTATGTCACCCAAGTGATTGTTTCACATAGTTCCCTTAATCAGATTCAAGTCCATGTTCAAGTCCATCAGTGTTTCAAGTGCGCATTCATCCAAACCAAACAACCAGAACTAGAGGTAGACAACCGCCACAAGCAGCATAAGAGAGAATGTTCACAACCTTCCTTGAACTGGAGATACCGAAATTTATTGCTCTCCGCGCACAAACGTTTAAAGAAGCATGGGTGCTTTAGGCAAGAGCTCGTAAATTTTCGAGATCAAATATATGTATCTAAAGGCCTCGGGGAAAACTTTGAGAAGTTACAGTGGAACACATTTGACCAAAGGTGCATAGCATGAATATGGTATAGAGCTATAGACTGGCCATGCATATGAACATTACACACTTGCATACTCGAGATCTTGAATACAACTTAACCGCCATATTGCACTATCCGACTTTTGGTATTTGGCATACATTGCAATTCATTTCCTTTACAATTTTTTGGGAGGGCATGTCCCTTACAAGACGTTTGGAGAAGTTGATAAGTTTTGCAGGTGGGTTTGAATGTTATTTTTCAAGCGGCGGTGTCGGTGTTTAAATTTTGGTAAAGGAAGGCCTACAACCCTAAGGACCTGCCCCCTAGTTCACTATCGATCGGAATCTTGCTGCCGCCGCCGCGGGGCCATCGGCATGACGTGTTCGATCACAAGGCAATGTTAGTGTATACCCAAACTGGATTTTACTGGAGCGGACATGAAATAGCATGTCCGAAATATTGATATATCTTAACGATTGAAATAAGCGTGACGGAAACCTAAGCCGCTATAACATAGCCCGAGACGGTCCGAATTACTACGGAATAACAGCTACAAAAGTCGGTGACTATCATACGGCGACCGTCACAGGCAGTCCGTCGCACATTGTTGTAAATATTCTTAATCAACCAGAGGCCTACATCGAGACTCCCGGGAGGGCTGTTTGGGCTGATTTGAGCACATCATCCCTACAATATACAGAGAGTGGTGACTATCTGGCAAGGGTTTAGAGCCATTGTAGAGCACAATTCACATATAGGATGATGACTTTTACCTACTGCGGCATTTTGAGCAAATACAAAAGGCCATGTAAGCTTTTGTACAACCGCAAACCAAATCTCAAACCAATGAGAGAAGCAAGTGCAATAGAGTACTAAATGTTGGAATCTGGCCGACAGCTCTCCCGGGATACCCGGTGTAGGCCCCGGCCGGACCCCTAGATTCCGTAGTAGCTCGGGTCAAGTGTCATTCTGTGTCACTTGTCACCATTGGTCACCGATCGGGTTTAGGTTCCAGTTGGGAGTATATATTCGTTAACTCTCGTCCTTACACATGCAGTTTAGTAAAACCTAAAGCCGATAAGTGATATTGGGCACGTTGTGGGAAGTGGATCCGTGACATCCAGAATTGAAATCGCGACGCGACCTTGATCATGATGACGTCTAGCAATCGCATCATATTTCGCCGGTGAACTCTAGAGTAATCGTATCTGCATCAGCGTGCGTCAGTTCAGATTTGCGCGAACCCACTTCCCAGGTTGTCCATTTCAAGTACAACAACGTACTGTGGACCTTTTATTGATTTTAATTCCAAAACGAGGTTTATAAAAGTATTCCTAGAAAAAAGTAGCATGTACAAGTTTCAGTCGTGAATTAAATAATTATTAATTTTTCTTTTTTTCTTTTTCGTTTTTCAACGGCCCGGGTATATTTAATTCCTGCTCCTTTGTTTTTTCTAAATCTGAGCCATGTCATCATTCCGATCGGCCCCCTCTTCGTTTTTGGCATCGGGTTTGCGACTTTCTAGATTCTTGCCGTCGCCATTCTCAAACAGATGAGAACGCATCACTCCAAAAGGCCCAACGAAAACATGATCTGGCAGTACAATAGCACCGTTGTTGACGCAGATTTTGGTACAAAATTCAAAAAATGGCTCCAAGGAGATGGCTATTGGACGCGTTTGGTACACGTTTGCTACGGTATGTGGGAGAGCGTGGCCTCGACCCACTGGGCTCACTTACGGACTAGTATTTAGCTGCCGGAAATTTGAACAGCCCTGATCTGCATCTAAGGCAGGTTGTAGAGGTGGATAAGTCTGAAGGTAAGGTTAAGTGGCGCTACTTGAAGCCCACTGCCAGACTTTGGGAAGGCCACCGTCGCACCATGCGGGTGTCGAAAATGCAAGTGGTAAAGGACAATGCATTTTGCGTTGGTAGGAAGCCGGTAGAGATTTGGTTACCTTACGACAGTGATGAGATTGTGCATGCGTGGGACTACGATGAAAATGACCCAGCGTGGGCCATTCCGGCAGAGGTGTTGGAGAAAACCCTAGATGTCCTTGATGCGCACATCCGCCGCAGCAAGCACTTGAATGATGAATAGAAAAGCATTGATAGTCTCTATTCGTCGAAACTTAGTATTCCCCAGAATACTATTGTTTTGGCTTTCAAAGGGGTCACTAGGGGATTTCGGATTTTTTTTTTTGCGAAATACAGGTACCCCGGCGAAATCGAAAAATTTCGCGAAATTTGGGGCCCTTTTGGCGAAAATTCCCCCCCCCGCCCCCGGTAAATATGGCGAAATTTCGCCATATTGCTCAGATTTCGCATTTTCAGATTTTGATTTTCAGTTTACAGTAGAGGGCACTAAGCTACGGAGGAGTACTTTATAGCTAGGACTGGGCCAGCACGTTCCTGCACACTCCAAGGATTCTAGGTTTCACGGCGGTTGTTCCTCTCAGACACCTCTGCGGTTCGATTGGCATTGCATATCGATATGCCTCATTCTGAGTTCTCGCTCGTTGAGCACAGTTATGGTTCAGCTTCAGACGAAGGCGACGACGACCCCTCAGAGGCCGACGACGAAAACGAGCAGTCAGAGACCGAGCTCACAGTATTAGAGGAGCGAGCAGCTCGTAAAGAGATCCAACCCGTGGTTAACGTATTCGATAGATTCAAACGTCACCGCTCCGATGATAGCAATGATGATGGGCCTCGCATGTAATTTGACATTGTAAAGATATCCTCATACTAGACCCAAAAATCTGAGTGGAATATCGATGACTCGTGATAAACCCATAATAGGGTACTCTCTTGGCTTCTAAAAATCGGAAATTAACTAATGACGTAAGGCTCACGAAGCTCGCGAAATTTTAGACTCATAAGGGTATACCGGAAGATTTCGTGCGAATTTCGCGAGAAATTTATGTGAAATATAGGGGTAACGTCGCGAAATCCGAGAAAGAAATATAGGCGATTTGAAAAGAAATCTTGGGAATTGTGTAGGGGTCACTCAAAGACGGTGCTAATGGTCGATTCACGATCGCGCACCTAGGGGGTTTTTAAGGTATATGTCTTATTGAAAAACCTTGAAGAGGGTGTGGGCATTCGGGAATTGCAAGTGTAATCGCGCGCGCCCTTTATGGTGACCCCTATAA